TATATATATATATATATATATATTAATTTATTATTATTATTTTTCTGCCATTATTGTATTTTTAGTAATGGTTGTTATGCAGTTTATTTATAGTTCATATTTATTTAATTGTTTTGTTTATTTATTAAATTGAATTCATGTTTATGAAGGGCCGGTAATATTAATTTGAGTTTTTTTACTTTTTTTGTTTTTTTCTCTGTTGTTTTTATGACAATAACACTGCTTGGACATAAAGATTCAGCTGATTTACAGTGACGTTGGTTTATTTTTTTGAGTAGTTGATTTAAATATTTTAATTCACTATATTTAAATAGTTTTAGTTTTAACTTCTAGAAATGCCTCAAATTAATGTTTAAAAACTGTCTTTAGCGGAGTGATATCGTGAAGGCAGCATACGAACCCACAGATGAGGAGTGTGAGTGGAAACCAGATGAAGAGGAAGAGCTGACAGTAAGTAAGCAGGTACAGGTGATCCATACCTGCATGCTCTTCAAATACCACCGCATTTACATAATACTGTATAATATGCTGTGTTCAGTCATAGCTTGACTCTATATATTGGCCTTTGTCTTCATCAGGAGGAAATGAAGGAAAAGGCCAAAGTGGAGGAAGAGAAGAAAGACGAGGAGAAGGAAGACCCTAAAGGAATCCCAGAATTCTGGCTCACAGTTTTCAAGAACGTCGACCTTCTCAGCGAAATGTTGCAGGTAGGGAGAGAACGGGCAAATGCTGGCACACAAGGGAGCGATTGTGAGTGTAGTAGTGTTCAAAAGCAGGTCATGCATCATGGGCATTTACAGTGGGAGATTTCTCTTTGGAAAATGTCCTTGCTGCCATCTTGTGGTGCAAAAGTGCACCTTGCATCCTTTTTAGCTGAAGATAAAGGCATAGTGAAGCTATATGCATCTAACTTAAATGAACTCAAGAGTCGAGGCATTTATTTAGCATTTGCATAGTTAACACTGGGGAAAACTGGGCATTGAAATGCTTGTGACGAGGCTCAGACATACAGTGACAATAACAGGACCATACAAAAAAACATACAGATATAGACGTACGTGGAGGGCACTGAGATATTGAGTGACTTCAGTGACCATAGGCAGAACAATAACACAGACAGAGCATTAAATACAAATAAGTGGCAGTAACAGATACAATAAGGGTAGACGACAGTGTTAAGAGTTTTAAGTAGTCCTGAGGTACTGATATAAGAATATTGGGGGTAGAGCAGTGTCCAAAATGTCATTGTAGAGTGTCGCAGAGCTACATGAAAGAAAATTAAAGTGGCAGTGCAAGTACAATAAATAATAAACTTAAGAGCAGCATGTATTCCGGTTTTATATGAAGGATAGCTGGCTATTAAGCAGTCTGATGGCTTGAAGATAGAAGCTGTTCTTCAGTCTGGTTGTCCGTGATCGGATGGATCGTAAGCGTCTGCCAGATGGCAGTGTGGCAAACAGGTGATGAGCAGGGTGAGTGCAGTCCTTGATGATGCTGCGGGCCTTTCTCAAGCAGCGAGTTTGATAGATGTCCTGTAGTGCTGGGAGTTTATGTCCAATGATGAGCTCTGCTGTTCTCACCGGTTCTCACTGTGAACTGTGTTCGGTTTTACTCAGAATTTATTGTATAATTTAATTTGGGCTGATTATGTCACTTACACTTTTGTTAAATATAATTTTCTTTAGAACAGTTGTGTCCAAACTTTAATACAAATGGTCATATATCAAACTTGATTGAAGGCGGCGTACAGGGCTCTACAGTGCGTTTGCAACTGAAAACTACTGCGTGCGACTATGGAAAAAAATATTTAGGAGCACCAGTGCGACTGACCAGATCATCATCATATTTGTGATTGTGCTGAGGGGAGCTTCAAGGGTTTCTACGTGGTTTTGCAGCGTTGAGTAATGCATCACAGACATATCTCACGAATCCTTTCATAAGCAAAGTGTAGACAGGGTGTAAATAAGAGATTCATTGTGCAGTGTAGAGAGCTTCGTTGATTATAAATGTGAGATCGCGATAATCTAAGAGTGACAGTTTTGAATGATTAAGGAAATTTGTAATTGTGATACTGATTTAATACAACAGTTCAATAAACAAGAAGTTAATATTAAGTGACTTACATTGTCTGACTATAACACTATTGTCTAATTTTGCTCTATTTCGTCGTCGAAAATAGTTTGAAACAAAGTCACATCTCCATTCAAACACAGCGGTGTCTCGTTTATGAATGAACTGCGTTTTTAAACTAATCTAGTGAGTCAGGATTTATGAATGGGTAATCATGAATCACTGTCACTTGCTTCATTCCTGAATGAATCAGCTGTTCGAATGAATCAGTTGAATTAATGATTCAGTGATAAAATCAGTGACCTTCTGCCACCTGCTGGCAGTTCATTTTTAAAGTATCTTTTCAGTTATTTAAATCACTTAATATTTCTATATTCAAAATTTTATATTTAAAACATTAATCTTAAAATGAATGTATGGATTTAATTGTACTTATGCCACCTCTGATCCTCATTAAATGTCTGAAAATACACCTACAAGCCACTTTTGTGTTCTTCTGTGCCACCTCTGTACAAATTAATTTTGTTAATCCTGCTTTCATTTGATTAGTAACTTATTCTACTTGTTCTTATTCTGTGGTTTTAATTAGAATTTTTAAAAAGCTTATAAAATATACATTTTTAAAAATTTGACATAAAAGATTACGTACTTTAATAAAGTTGGAAAAATGCCATTACAAAGGTAAAAACAAAATTCCACTGTCAAATATCACCTCGTAATGGGAAGGCTATTTTTTTTTAATCAAATTTTGGATTATTGATTAGAAGGTGCTCCTGAATTTTTGACTGCGCTCCTAAATTTTAAGTTAGGAGCACAAGTGCTCCTAAAAAGAAAAGTAAACATAGAGCCCTGCAGTAGGCCAAAAGTAAATGTTATATCAACTGTATTATAATATATAGTTATGTAATATATATGTTGTGTATATATTTTTAAATTAGATTTAATATTTATATAGTTTTAATATAGTTAATTTGTATTTAATTTGTATTTATTTAATGCAAAGATATTAATAAAAAATGAAGATGTGCTTCAGTGGGATGTTTTAATATATTATTTATTTTTATTATTTGTATTTTTATTTTGTATCTTCTCTTGTGATAAAGACCAAAAGTAAATGTTGCAGTATATCAATCATAATGTGTTAAATATATATCTTATTTTTTAATTTATGTAATTTAATATATATATATATATATATATATATATATATATATAATTGATAATTATTGTTGATATATATCATTTATATAT